CTTCGTTAACAAAGAGCTTCTTTTTTGTCTCTTTACTAAAATTTTTTATACAAGGGCTCCACCTGCCAGTTATCTTGCATAATATTACTTTTAGCTTGCATGTTAAATATATAGAGGAGTCCCCGAAGCACTGGTTGACCTCTATAAGAACCGTTGTATTGTAAAAGAGCCTTCTTCTTCATTATCTCTAATAAATTTTTGTTTTTGGCTTTTTCGAATTTTTGGAAAAAAGGATCATCGAAAAGAGTTCTTTCGATTTATGTGAATTAACTGTTTATTAATTTTACAAAATAGCTAAAGCTATATTTAATTAATAGATAATATTTATTACATTTTGACATAGGATGATACTGCTACTACAACTGAGAGTAAAGATAATTTTAGCCAAAAATTTTCTAAAAAACAAAAAAAAAATTATAGATCTAAGGAATCTGATTTGAATGAGAAGAAATACAAATAAGCCCAGGTCATTACAGAGCTTTGAAATAAATATAAATGTTCTTATCATATTATACTATGTTACATTGATAATGAACACTATCTTCAATTGAACTCTGCTCAGTTGATATTATTGGCATGTGATATAGTATGTATATATATAGTTGTGCTTGAAGTTAGCATCTGCGTGAAGCTGTAACTTCAAGCACCTGTTAAACCTATCTAAAATTAATTTCAAGGCTAATTTCAATCAGTGCAACTTTAAGTATTTGAAGTTGCAACTTCAAGCAGATGTTGATTTCATTACTACTATCTAATACTAATGCTAATTTATCTTTTAGATTCTAAATTTGACAACAATTGATATACCACTGTCATATCTTATATTTGAAATGTTACATGCTATCAAACTAAAATCTCCTGAACAAAATACTGTTCAATAAACATCTATGCTATCAGACTTTAATTATAATATAACACTGATACATTATCAATCTTCTCAAACTGTTTCTAATATTTCTCTAGAAGAATTTTTTACTGAATTAGATCAGATTCATAATAGTAATAGAAGGTATATTGCTTTAAAAGAATCATTTGAATATGAAGAAATTGCAGTTGATACTATAAAAAATTTGCCTGATAACTATTTAGATGAATTAGGTATACATAAAATGGGATAGAAAATTAATATAAAAAGAGCTGCTCAAAAATATTAATATATAGATTTTTTTTTTAGAATAATTGTATTTTTTTTGATATTAATTATAATTTTATGATTGTACTAGCTACTAATTTGGTTAAAAGACAATTAGGCTTAAATTTGAATAATTATATTATTACTGGACTAGATAGTACTTATACAAATATAGTAGATAGTTTGCTATAAGTAATGTAAAAGACAAGAAATATAGTCTGGCAATCACAAGTATAGGTTACAAGTATATAGCTGTGTTAGAATGTAAACATTTATTAAATTTTATATTTTAGCAATTTTTATATTTATAAGTTTAATATAACTGTTAAATATAAATAAGCTATTAAATAAAGTTTTTATATAATATATAAAGAAAATTCTGTTATATATGTTCATGATTTAAATTAATATTTTATTAGAATAATATAATATCATATAGTTATTTAGTTATTTATACAGCATTAGAGACTTATTTATATAAATTTTAATTCTTTAACTTATGTCTGACATTTCATTTACTTTTTTTGGAGTTAATTTTTCTTATTTCATAACAGTATTATATATAGACAAAGCCTAATATAAAATTAAAAAAAAAGGTTAAACAATTCATTCAACAAAATATGAAAATAAATAGTTCTTATAAATATCCTAGCAATCATTAATCTAGCATTATAAAAAGCTAATACAATTATAGAATTGCCTTGTTAAACAAATTGTTCAAAAGCTTTTATATATTTTCAGCAATATTAAGAAAAACTACTTCAGGACCATGATTTTCTTATATAGCTAAAGCAATTTACTGAATATTTTTAACAGTGAAGAAGAATAACTTTGGCTCTATTTGAGAGAAAATAGATAAGTTACTAAATATTAAATAAAGCTAAAATTAGCTAAAATAAAATTTATATAAAAATAAAAATAAATTTAAAAATCTGATAATATATAAATAAAAGTATTTGCTACCTTGTATGGATCAATGACTTTTATATAATATGCTATTAATAAGTTCTAGTATAATGTTGTTTAAATAAAAAAGAGATATCAGATTGAAACTAAATAAGATATTCTCTTAATTTATATAATTAGAAATCATTAAATCTTGTATTATAGCACTTTGAATAAAAATATTTAAACAATTTTTTTTGATTTTTAATATATTTTATTTGTTTAAGAAATAGAATCATAATCTAAACCTAGTATTAAAATCTAATTAAACTAATAGTTTTTAGCAAAATAAATATTTTTTCTCAAAAAAAAAAAGATAATTGAGTGTTTACAAAAAAGTATCTTTACTAATAATTGGATTATAAAATTATGATAAAATAAAAAAACTTTTTTATGATAATACAAATAAATTAAATATAAATAGATCCCTTAAAAAATTCTAATGCTATGTTAGAGGTAATTTGTGAATACGCTACTATAAATGCATGAATAGGATCATTAGATGCATCTATAAAATCTCTGTTACATCTAATCCAACTTTTTATAGTACTAAATGCAGTTTCAATTAGATTAAAATCAGGTGAATAAGGTAGAAGAAATTCAATATGACACTCTAATTCTCTAATTATTTCAATTAATTCATTATCATGATGAATTTGTATATTGTCAAGAATAATAATACTATTTTTGCCAAGATACGAGTTCATTATAGGTATCTAAATTAAAATAATTATATTAATTTAATTTGGCAAATAATATAATTAAGCATTTTATAATTACAAAAATAGTTCTATTAGATATTACTAACTACTTCATGTATAAGAAATAAACCACTACATATTCAATTATTCCATAATAAATTGATATAAACAAATACTAACTAGTTGAGATAGAACAAATTCTAAAAATCATTCTTTGGTACAGCTACCTTCCATTATATCTAGAGCAACTATCCTATCTAATAATAATGCTGGTATAATTGTATAGTGTTTACCTTATAAAAAAACATATTTTTTGCATGCTCTTTTATTGACTATTGCATATCTATAGTATTGTATAAGACTTCATTTATCCTTTGCACTTTTATCTATAAAGATTAACTGTTCTAGTCAGTAATTGATTCCGATTTTAGTAATAAATGCATTACATACGATTTCATTTCTTTTATATACTGCTTTTTGTATCTTAAATAATATTAGTTAAGATAAAGTATAAATAAATAATAAATTTTAGAATAATTACTTTTTTATGAGTAATTCCCAAGTAATTTAAAGAACGATGTAAAGTTGAAACTGAGACACATTTATTAGTTAAATTTTCTATTTCAACTACGAGTTCATCTAAATACTAGTTAACTTTTTCCTTAACTAAATTTTTAAGTACAACCAATTCTTCTAAAGAAAATACTTTGCATCTGCCTAGTGGAATATTAAAAGGACTAGTTATATTCCCCTATTTATTAAAAGTTTTAAGAATTTTTCTAACAGATGTTCTACTAATATGAAGTATATTAGCAATTTTATATTCGTCATTGCTTTCTGCATCAAGATATACAATTCGCTAATGTAAATTTTCACTTAGTTTATGACCTATAGCTTAAAAATATAATATTTTTGGATTTTAAGTTATATTTATAATATTTGAAAAATGAATTTAAAATATATTACTAACAGACTCACAGCTCATATTAGTTAAGAAATAGTGATTTGTTTAACATGACACTTTTTGAAACATATAACTTCACTTTCCAGTTGGCACACTACTTTTCAAGGTGACTGAGATATGCAATCTAAATTTTAAAATTTAGTTTATCATAATTACATAATAAAAAATTTTTTTACTATTATTTTTGAAATAATTTTTTCACTATTCGATTAATCTCAATGAAATGAACTGAACAGTGAAGGTTATTTTAAAGAAACGCAAAATTCACTTTAACCACCTGAACTCACTCTAATAACCTCTGCAAATCACTTTAACCTCTGGAACTCACTTTAGTATTTATATGCAGTAAAAGGACTTCGTACTAAGAAAAAGCCTGTCAAAAGATAAATTTGCAAATAATAGGAAAGTAAAAAGACTTTAATAATACATGTTTTACAAAATAATGTTAATCTGATGTAATTTTCATGGGATTCGATATGATCAACAAGGTTTGATTGTCATACTAATTTGCAAAGAGCGATAACTGTAAGTCTAGTTAAAAGATCGATCCTTATTTAGTCTTTTCAGAGCTGATTCATTCATCTCAAGTAGTTTCCAAAACAGGATAGTATTACTATCATAAATTAGGAGAGTGAATAATGTTATACAATTTAGCTCCGATAGTTAATGTGATATAGATTGTAATGCCTGATTACTAGTAAAAGTGATGGAATTCTATAAACTATATATATACGTCGTGTATTATATAAAGGTCAGATTGGTGATTTAAGGAATGATTGGAATAATTTGATAACTAATTCTAAAGGGGCGATATTACTCTTAATCATATAACAATAAACTAATTACTTAAATGTAAGAGTTTAAATATATCGTAACAGTTTAAACAATGAGTTTTAGTTATAAACACAGTTTATAATATTAGCGATAA